GGGGGGCATATCCGCATCCCACATATGCAGGGCGCAGTAAGGCTCTGCTGTTTTTCGGCCCTCTGAGTGGGCACCGGGCTGCCTGCTAGGGGCCTGCCAGGGGTCTGGGGATGGCACAGAGACCCTACAAGACCAGGAGGTGTCTGGGGGGTGGCCCCGAGGCTGCTGGAGCCCAGTGGCAGCCTGGGGGTGCGGACGTGATGTAGAGTGGGGGAAGATGTTCTGAGGGCCAGAGTGCCTGGGGTGACATTCGGAGCCACCCCTGGAGGGAACTAGGAACTAAAGGAGGGAGGGCTTCCCGGAAGTCCAGGTAGAGGCGGAGCAGGTGTGAAGGTGGGGATGAGAGGGAGTTCAGACCGCTCTGGGTGCAGTAGACAGTTCTGTGAGCCTGGGGAGGCCTCGGGCCAGTGGCAGCCTCCCACGTGAAGGGGCGGTGCCCACAGTGGGTCCTCCGATGCAGGAGGGAGTTCCGTGCCCCCACCCACCTCTGCCCTCTGCACCCACCTCACACGGCTCCCCCGTGAGACCTGTCGCTGCAGCCTCTAAATCAGGCTTCGCTTTCTGATGGCAGCAGCAGCAGCAGCTGGGTGACACGTGAAAAAAATAAGGCTGTTTGGAAAATTCCACTGCTGTGTGCTGTGACGGGGAGCCCCGCCCCCAGCACCTTCCACTTCCTTCACACCTAGAGCCTTAGGGCCTCTGGCACTGGGCACTGTTAACAGTCAGGGAGCCACAGGCCACAGGGGGGACCCGCCCCAGCTTCATTGTAAGTTACCTCTTCCAGCCTTGGCTGCTCTGGGGACAAGGGACCCTTGATGTGGGGCCAGACTCACCTGGATTCAAGTGCTCCTAGTGAAATGGGGCAATGATATAGCATCGCGGGGCCTCCAGGCAACTAGAGGCTGTTACAAGGCAGGCCGCCCAGCCTGTAGCCCCCACCTCTGCAGCAAGTGCTTGCCCCCACCCACCCGATCACTTCTCTAACCCCCTCGGGGCTCGAGTCTCCCCTTCACACAGTGGGACCTCGCCTGCCTTGCCTCTCCCCGAGCTTTGGTGAGAAGGGTCAGGGGCTTAAGCCCCTATCTGACCTTGCACCTCAAAGTCTGTGACTCACCCACCGTGAGTATCTTAGCACATCTTCACTGTAAATAAAGCGTATGTTCCTTCTGGGGAGATCTGTCTCAAAATATATGGGGGCAGAAGGTAATCACATGTGTTCTGATATTCCCTTTGGTGTTTTCTTCCTTTTTTCCTGTGGATGATGCGAATTCCATATTTTTTTTCTTCATCAATAAGTTTATTAGTCTTTTTAAAAAAGATTTTATTAACTTATTACTTTTAGACAGAGGGAAAGGGAGGCAGAAAGAGAGGGACAGAAACATCAATGTGTGGTTGCCTCTCATGTGCCCTGCACGGAGGACCTGGCCTGCAACCCAGGCATGTGCCCTGACTGGGAATTGAACCAGTGGCCTTTTGGTTCTCAGGCCGGTGCCCAGTCTACTGAACTGCACCAGCCAAGACAACGTGCTGGTCTTTGCCTGACAGATCTTCATAGAAAATCGAGGTTGGTTTATTAGCTCCTGGCAGCCCGTCCCTGAGCTCTCAGGAGCTTGCCTTCTCCTAGGCTGCCCATTCTGCCTTCTGAGCGAAGGACGTGCTGGGCGGCCCCACCGTTCAACTTCTTTCTCGGGCTCTCCCTACAGACCCGGCTCTCTCACACAGCAGCCTGGGCTTTCAGAGCCTCCGCCCGGGGCACAGGCACGCTGTTCCCCACGTGCCGGGAGAACTGGTCCTGGTAAGCCTCTGTGGTCTTCCGTTAGATAGCCTGCATCGTCCTCGGCCGTCTGACCCACACTGCTTCCTCGTTGAACTCCTTGCTTTCTGGGTCGTAACCGGGACTTGGCTGGCACTGTGAGGGACAGACAAGCCTCTGTCTCCAGTTCCCTGAGGGTCCTCGACACACTATATCCCATGGCCATTCTGCCAAGCCCTGCATCTGAAGAGCAGGTGAAAGCACCAGGTGGGCCATCGATGCTCTCCAGACTGCAGCCACCTCCCGTGGCCGTCGCAGACCTCGTCCTCGCCGAGCCTGTGGAGCAGCTGTTGAGAAGCCTGCAGCCCGCTGGTGCGGCCAACCCCGCACACTGGGAGTTCACGAGCATGAACTTCGCAAACTCTGCCATCTGCTTCCCTACGGGCACACGCAATCTGACAATGCTGTCTTTCTTGGTCACCCAGACTACCACCCGGTATTTGGGGCGCATTGTATTTATTTTTGTCCTGGGTTACCAAGCACTTCTGGGCATGGCACCTCTCCCCATCTTCTAAATTTCACTTGGTGTCCCTTGCAGTAGGCTTGTTCTTGACAAGTTTAAGAAACCCCTTCCTGCGGAAGAGACCCACACTGCAGATGGCCGCGGGTTTGCAGTCCCTGAGCAGCTCGGGGCCGGGCAGGGGGCATGCATTCCACATCCCTTGATTTTACCCTTTATTTAAAATTCAGTATCACTCATAGATGAAGCATGTCCTCTGTGCTATATAACTCCTGTAAAGGTTTTTTAAGACGGCTTCACTGAGTTGGCCTTCCCTCCCGGTAGAACTTCCACATCATGTCTCTTTCCCTGCTGTAAGTAACACTGTGGTGGCATCAGTCAGCCGGAATTTGGGGTGACTCCACCAGTGTTTGGACCACAGGGATTCTGAGGGCTGTTGTGTTCTGCTTCCTCCTTGGCTGGGCCATGCCATCTCCCCATCACAAATGTGCTTTTAGGAGTCCTGCCTCCCAAATTCACTGATTCTAACCGAGTGCAGGTAGGAGACAGTAACTGTACTTATCAAAACTGAGTTCAGTACAAGTTGATGCCTCTGGTGTGAGGGTCTGTCTGCTCCTTCTTGCAACCGAGTGCAGAGGTTCCTTCGTGGTGGCACTCTGGTCGTTTGGACGCTTTCCTGTCACTGTGCCTCTGGCCCTCTTCCACGCCGCCCGCTGATACCTGTCTGGGTATCAGGCAGGGAGGCAGGGAGGCACTGCGCTTCTGAGGAGTGTGAGTGTTCATGGCCACACAGCGGACCTTGTTCGTCGTGTTTCTAATTCGGTTACTCAGTTGTGATGGGGACACATCTAGAACACTTCTGGGTGCTGATGACAAACGGGAACACGTGGGTGTGACTGCAGGTGTAAGCGACTAATGGGCTCTGGGGGCGGGGGGGGGGGCTCTGGGCCCAGAGAAGGGGGTTGAGGGCAACAGGACAGGGAGAGGGTGATGCAAAGGCAAACAGGGTGCCAAAACCTGTGGACCACAAACTTCTTTTGGTTCTGGGCTTAGAACGATTGTTTCTTCTTACTGTGGGGTTTTAAAACCCCAAGATTCAGAATGAGGGCTGGAAGGGATTTGCGGAGTTGCAAGGAACACTGTAAAAGCAGATTGATTAAACTAATGTATTAGGTTGCCAACTCAGTCCTGAAGCAAGCCTGTACTTTTCCACTAATGTTTTCTTAAAATAAGCTGGGGAGGTCACATTAGGGTTTGAAGGATACCTGGTACTATTTTCCCTTAATTTTTAATATTTTAAAACATTTTCCACCTAGAAATGTAAGCATATATAAAGCCCCTATTATGCACCAAGCCCTCTGAGGGTGTTACCCTACTAAGAGTTTGCCTTATTCAAGTCCTTGCCCCCTGCCATCATAACTAACAGGTGCTAAGCATTTGCAGAGCTATGAGACAGTAGAATGTCAGGGTTCTTTGGCCCAACCCACGTGACCATGGCCCTGACAAAGTAATCTTCCACTGCATGCTTCCAGATGCTCTCTGGGTTGGAGAGATTACCCTTCCTGCCCCTGACCAATCTGCTCTCCCGTCCCCCCTTAGACTCAGCCGGTCGGTCTGAAGTTTCCTCTCTGGTAATTCTGCCCGTGAGAGTGCTCAGGGCAGGCTCCTTCGCGGCTGGATCAAAGCCCAGGGTGCAACCCAGGCCTTCCGGCTCCCAGCCACTGGAGTCGTTCCTCTCCACTTGATGTCTCCAGAAGACAATGACAATTTAACAAATATTTAAGTGCATACTACTTGCCAGACACAGATCACACAGCAGTAAATAAGACAGGCCGGGTTTGCCTCAGGAAGCCTCCATTTAGAACAGATCAGCAACTGCCTAACAACAGCGTTCTCATTCAGGGCCTGGCAAGGTTTTGGAAGGTGGTCTACGTAGGGCACCGGTCTTCCGACCCCTCCCAGCTACTGTCCGCGGTCCAGGGACCTTGGGCAAGAGGCTTCTCTGCCTCTCTATACACTACACGGCTTTGATCACAGACCCTGTCCAGGCGTTTCTGCAACACTGATGCAAAATAATGCACATAAATGCTAGGTTAGGGGATCCCCAAACTTGTTGCACATTTCCCAACTTGCAAAACTGTACCTCGCCTCCAAGTAATTGGTCTGGGGAGTGGTCTGGGCTTTGGCATTTTCAAAGATCCCCAGGCGCTTGCAGTGGGTAACAGCTCAGTGAAGGACACCTACAGAAAAGCCCATTTTACAGAGTAAGAAACTTAAGCTAGGCAGGGAGGCCGCCCCTCCTCCTCCCGCACACCAGCCCACAGGCAGGGGCACCCATCGATGCGCTCCATCGCTCGGCTCCCCACGCCTGGTCCCTGCCCGCTCGAGCCCCTTCCCCCTCCCGGCAGCTTCCCACTTCCAAGATGGCCGCGGGTGGAGCCGACCAGGTAAGGAGGCCCCAAGCGGGTGTCCACCGGGCTCTGAGGACCCGAAGATCTCCTCAGGCACTTCTCGCGGCTCCGCTTGGCCCTCGAGAAAGTAAAGGGCGGGTGACGCCGCAGCGGGGCCCTCGGCGGACTGGGGAGCGGGTCGCAGGAAAGGCTGCAGGGCGAGCGTCGAGTTCTAGGAGCTGCAGCGGTGGTGCGGCGGGAGGCGCCAGCTCTGGCAGAAGAGCGGCCGCGGCCGTCGGGGGCGGGGCGAGGGTGCGCGGGGCGGGGCGAAGGCGTGCTCCGCCGTTGGCCGCGGGCGGCTCGCGCGCACCTGCTCGCCGGGCCCGCCGCCGGTCGCGCTCCCGGCGTTCTCGCCGCAGAAGTTGAGGGTCCTGTGGGACTTGGGGTACCAACTCCCCAGCTCCGGGATGGCGTCGGAGCTGAGCTAACTCTGGTACTGAGGGCCTGCAGCGGGGGCGGGGGCGGGGCCGGGAGGGCGGTAGGGGCCCCAGGCGTGCGGCGCCGCTGCCACCTGCTGCAGCGTCGGCAGGAGCGGGGAGGTGGCCTCAGGCAGGCGGGGTGGGGGGCCAGCGCGCGTCCGGGTCCTGCTCTGACGCCCTCTCGCCGCGCGGTCCCGGCGCTGGGGAGCCCTTGGGGCCCCGGCGAACACTGCGGGGCCCCGCGGCACTGGGCGCTCGACCGCCCCGCGGTGAGGCGCGCGCCCTGACACGCTTCTTTTCCGGAACTTGACGAAGAGTTTGTCCTTTCAGATGCGCGGGGCTGCGGGCTCGGCGCTTGGACCCGCCCCTCCCGGCCGCCAGGACCCTTCTACCTCTCGCAGGGTTTCCGACTCCTTGGAGCCTCCCCCTGGGGGGCCGCTCCTCCCCATGGGGCTCCTGACACCCTTCCTTCTTGGAATCCCTGTCCCTAAGCCCCAGACGCCCTCCTCCTCGCACCGTCTGCTCCTCGCTCAGGACTCCCTGGCCCTGGCCCTGGCCCCCCTGCGCCTTGGTGACCCAGGCTGGAAGGCTCCAGCCGTGTGTCCGGGGTGGGGAGGACGCTGCCCAGGCGCTCCTCGCTGGGCAGGGAGCTGCCTGGAGGAAGGAGTCAGCGGCTGGAAGCCGAGAGGGTGAGGCCGTGATGAAGCAGAGGACTGGCCCCGCACGCTCTAGTCCTGAGACCCTACGCCGGGCATTGTAGTGGCAGGATCTTCGCCTGGCCACGCGAAACCATTTCTGCCATAAAATTGCTCCGGGCACTGTTTTCACCAACGTGGTAATGGCAGCTGTGCTTTGGAAGGTTGTCCGTGCAGGAGGTCCTGGGGGCCAGTGTCTGCGGTGTGGAGGCCCCTCGCTCTTGTGGTGCCTTTAGGGAGCGCACGTTGCTGCCACGCAGTTAGGTGTGAGCGCTGGGCACTTTGAGGTGCTTTGCCTGGGCCAGCTCTCCCTCTAGCAGTCTTGGAACACTTCCTCATGCCTTGTTTATCTGAGTAGGACCAGCCGGGGTCTCAAATTCGGGTCTCAAGTTCGGGTGCTACTTCCCAACCTATTACCCCCTGCTCTATCCCCAGTGCCCCCACGCCCCCAGGCTCTTAGGTCCCTTGAGTTTGAGGGCTCTATGTGATCCCCAGCCCTAGTGAGAACCTGGCATGGATTTGGGCCCAGGGTTATTGAGGGAACCCACCCTTTGGGAAACTAAATTAGGGAGGTAACGTAAGTCACTGGCTCCTAGGCACCCGGCAGGGGAGAGGCAGAGGTGGGATTCTGAGTCCACACCTCAGTGTCCCAGCACTTCACTGGGCTGGGCCTGGGCTGGGCCTGGGCTGGGCCTGGGCTGGCTCCAGGTCAGTGAAACAGTTTACACTCCTGCCCCAGCTGCACCTGCCTCTGCTGACCACCACCAGGCACCCTTCTCTCTCCCTCTCCACCCCTCCGTCTAGCAGGTGGATTCCTGTCTTTCATGCCTCCACTTCCTTGTGCCTGTGCCCTGCCAAAGTCCTCCGCAACAGCGAGGGCCCCGTTTGTCAGAGCACCTGGTTTGGGGGTCTGTCTCCCACATTGGTCCGAGCCTCTGGCCTTTTGTTGCAGCCTCAGCACAGGGGATGCCTGCCCAGCATGCCATCCTTGCTGGTGGGCCATTGAGACCTTGGAGGAGGTTTGTCATCAAAACAGACCTTCATACGGGTGTGAGAGGATTTTAGGGAAATGGCTGTGTTGTTTGCTGGTGTTTGTCGTAGGACAGACACAAACTTTGCAGGGCCTGGGTGGAGTTCCGGAGCGTCAGGCTGGAAGGAGTGCAGGTGGATCAGCCGGGCTGGTGGTCTCCTTTTACACACGGGGCAGGTGAGGCCCAGAGCTCAGTCAGCGCTGCCCAGCAAGTGAGAGGAGAGGTGGTAGGGACAGGAGGAGGCCGTGCAGCAGGCTTCCAGGCACTGGCTGTGTCTGAGCTTGCTTATGCAAATGAGTTGCTAAAATAGTGGGCCTGAGCTGGCCGGGCCTATCTGGTGCCCAGGAAAGAATAACACCAGCCAGCTCTTCTGAGGCTTAACTCTTGCCTGGCAGCAGTCCTGAAGGCTTTATGTGGATTACTTCCCCTAATCTTTCAGCTGCCCGAGGAGACAGGCTCTGCTATCGGCCCCATTTTACTACACAGAAATTGAGGCACAGGAAAATCAAGAAACTCGTTCAAGGTCATAGAAAATGGAGAGGCTGGGATTTGAACCCAGACAGCCTATCTCCAGAACATGCATTCCCCCCTTATTTATTTATTTAAATATTTTATTTATTTATTTTTAGAGAGGAAGGGAAGGGACGGGGAGGGAGGGAGGGGGAGGAACATCAGTGTGTGGTTGTCTCTCACACGTCCCCTACTGTGGACCTGGCCCACAACCCAGGCATGTGCCCTGACTGGGAATTGAACCTGTGACCCTTTGGTTTGCAGGCCAGAGCTAAATTCCCTGAGCCACACTAGCCAGGGTACCCCCTCATTTATTTTATTTTTAAAACTTTTCTGTTGAAGCCAACATACATACAGAAAAAATTGTTAACTGTTTAGCTTGTTGGTCATCGCAGAGATCATCACAAAACGTAGGGCCTGTGATGGCACCGCAGCAGCCACTTCTGCGGCTTTGATGTCAGGCCCGGGTGGAACCCAGCTGTGTGCCCGTGTGAGCTCGGGCAGGTTCCTCAGCCCCCGAATCAGTGTCTGCAGCGTGCTCGCAGGGCCTGTGGTGGCTGGCGCGGGCGACGGCACGCTTGGTCACGGTGCGTCTTTGGTGAGTGGTCTCTCTTGTTAACCGTTATGAGTGTAAATGACCTGGGCTTTCTTAAGTGGTCAGAATGTCCCTTGCCTGTCTGTGGCCCCTCAAGCACACCGGTGCTTAGGACAATTAGTTGTGGTAAATCACCAAACGCAGTTGAAACATTTTGGGGTTGTGGGGAATCCCCCAAATGTTGAAAGTCCTCAGTTGAAGATGTCCCCCCCATGCCTTTTCAGCATAACCTCCTTTGGGCAGTGTGACTTCAGAGTCTGCTCCATAGGGTTGTGAGGGAGTCTTTGGGGACCTTTGGCAGTTTAACCCCAGTTTCTGCCCAGTTTACTGATGGACCAAAACTTATTCAAACAACATTGTGTTGAGTTCCAGGTGCCTGAAAGTTGCCACTCACCCTCCAGAGAAGTATATTGGACTTCTAAGAAATTCTTTTTTTTATGTTTTTTTTTTTATCCGAAAGAATAGCCCATTTACAAGCTAGACTACTTTTATAGTTGATTTTTCATTCTACAAAATGCAAATTAACCCACTCTTTTAGGTCCTCATGCAAGCCGTGTGAAGAGGAAGTGCTTTGGCGTCAGGTCAGTCCTGGCAAAACCACTTTGTCACACGCACCTTTCGGTCCTCTGTCGCATGTCTGTAAGCTGGTGATGACGGGGTCGTTATGGAGGGCACGCAGGGGGTGGGCATGAACACTGAACAGCGAGCGGTGTGCAACATGTAGTGCACACTTGGCGAGCAGAGGCAGCTGCTCTTGTTCATTGTTAATGCTGCGGCACCTGAGCCCTAGACTGGCCTGTGCCTTTCTTTCCAGGAACGTTGTGCGTGAGCCAGGACCTGAGTTACAAAAAGGAAGATGGTGGTTGGTGCTGTGGGACCCTCTGTGGAGTTGGCTCATCCACAGGGGACATGCCGCAGACCGCTGTGCACTCACTCGAAGCTGGAGAGGAAGGGAGGGGGTTGGGCATGGCACTGGGTCAGTGGGCAGCCCGCAGCAGAGGGGCGTGCCCACAGCCTCCTGGGAGGGTCAGGGAGAGCAGCCGGTCCCTGTGCCGGTGGGGCCTGCGGGGCAGGTCTCCTCTGTGGTCTCCGGAGAGCAGCGGGACATGGGGGGGCTGCGTTGTGGCCGGGAAGGGGCCAGGGGCGTCTGTGTGGATGGTTGTATGACTGCTCCCCGAAGCCACCAGTGAGTGTGTTTCCCTGCCTGGGATCAAAACAGAATCATTCGGTTCCGGCTCCCTAAACTCTTTCTTTTGTCTCTGAAGGTGTAGTCAAGACTGGTCCTCTTGGTTTTTAAGGAAGAGAAAATGAAACCTTTGCTTGGATGGAACTGTTTTCCAGACTTACTCAGGATCGTGGGTCGGAGCTGCTGTTCACCTTCCGGCCTGCAGGACCCCTGAGACGCGGCCCAGAGCAGGGCAGCTTGTCCGGCTCTCGGGCACTTACTTGCTGCCTGCAGAGCCCGGTTTCGTGGCAGGTGGAGAAACCCCAGGTGGTCTTGCTGCCTGAAACGGACAGTCTTCCCCTTTTCCGTGCTTGGCGTCTGGTGTGTTTCTCTGGTCTGGGAGGCGATGGCTGGTCATCATCACACTTGTATTGAGTGTCTCCATGGCTGCTGCTGGGCGGTGCCTCAGAGCCTGAGGGTGTGCCCTATGGTGGCCACTGCAGTGGCTTGTGTCCTCAGGCCATAGTGGTGTGGCCTCTGGGAGGCAGCCGTGCTGTGTTTTACTTTCCTACCCCGCTGACCATGTCCCTTCCTGGCTAGTCTGGTGGCAGAGAGAAGGCACAGGTAGGCATGGCTTCCCTGCCATGTCTGTTGTCCACTCACGTGCCAGGAGCTCCACGAGATGGATTTTCTTCTTTGTCTTGTCACTCCCACTGCTTACCTTGTCTTTGGAACATAACTTGGCTCTCAGCAGATGTTTCTTGGATCAACTGTACCTGAAACCTGCTCACTTAGAACGTAGTTGTTAGCACTAATTAATTCAGCAGATAGATTTGTGAATCCTTAATCCATGCCAGGCGCGTGTCCAGGCAGTGAGCGCCGTGCCTGCCTGCAGCTTCGGGGCTAGTGCAGGGAGACACGGGAACAGCTGTAAGCAGGGTTGTTTTAGGTGGGATGTGGCCAAGGGAGTCTAGGAGGAAGGAGGCCTGCAGCTTCCTGGGAGAGCTGGGAAGGCTTCTCAGAGGAGGTGGCCTTGGAAGTGTGCTGTGCCTCCTGGTGGCACCTGCTACCAGATCTCTAGGGGCGCTGAAGGCCCCAGGCCTGGGGCAGCAATCTGGGTGCTGAGAGAGCCGAAGCGACAGTGCGAGAGGCTGGCGAGGCTGGCAGGGACGGACCGGGAGCGCCCTGTGCCAGCTCGGGGAATTTAGGCTTATTCTGTCTTTAGAAAATGTGTGACTTGGAGGCAGGCCATCAGCAGTTGGCCTCCTGGCAGGCTTCCAAAGTTCGCCCGCAGCCTGTCTCGGCAGGTGCTGGGTGCCGCCACCCCGGCGGGGCACCCCGGAAGCGTGTGTTCTCCCGGGGGCGCGGTTTCTGGTTTTACAGCACCGGTGGCACCAGGCAGAAGGGTTTGAGGGCAGGCGACCTTGGCCCTTGCAGATTTTGGTTTCAGAGTATGTTGCAGGCGGAAGCGCTTTTTCCCTTTTAGGTTTATTTTCCTGGAGGAACACCCTGTTCCTGAAGCTTGAGGAACTTAAACTGGACTTGGAACATGTGGGGACCTGACCGTGCTCAGCAGCTTCCTTAGAAGACGCCCTGGGCTGCACTCGAGTGGCCCTGGGAGGCCACGCCCACTTTTGTCAGGTGCTTTCGTCAGGTGACTCAGAGGAGAGGGGTCCCTGGGTTCACCTACCGCACTTGTGCATTCCTGTCACTCTGGTATTTCAGTTCAAGTTCATTTTTCTTTGCAGGTGCTTGAGCTTTTAATGTGGCAAAAATAGAGAAAATTCCTGTTTATTGGGTACCTGCTGCGTGTCAGATGCAGGGTGCGCTGGTGCTTTCCCCAGACCCTCTCCTTTCATTGCCCTCAGGTACCCCAGGATTTCTAGGGGATGGCCCCATTTCACTGCTCAGAGGTCCAGCACCCCAACCCCTGCAGTGGCCGCAGCTGGTAGGTGGCAGCTCAGGAATTTCGGCCAGGCCCGGCAGAGTCTCTCTCCAGAGGATTTCCTCTCCAGTTTACGCTTTGTGCCACTTGGACCTGTTGGAGTGTTGCTGGTGGTTGGTAATTCTCATCACCTCTGACATCTCCAAAGATTATCTCCTACTTAGGTTTTTCTTTTAATTAAAATAAAAAAAGTAGAGGCCTGGCTGGTGTAGCTCAGTGGATTGAGCACGGGCCTGCGAACCAAAAGACTGTGGTTCAATTCCCCATCGGGGCACATGCCCGGGTTGCAGGCCAGTTCCCAGCAGGGATGCACCAGAAGCAACCACACATTGATATTTGTCTCTTTCTCTCCTTCCCTTCCCTTCTAAAAAGATAAATAAATAAACAATTAAAAAATAAAGTAGAACTTCCAGGTTTGTCTGAGTTTGACTCCCTTGCCTCCTCAGGGAGGAGTGAATCCGTGCTGCACTGCCCTGCTCAGCTCAGAGATGTCCCAGAGCAGGGTCCCAGACACGGTTTGCTGTGACCTTGCGACCTTGCTCTGGAGCAACTCAAGACTTGCTGGGACCCTGGCGGGCTGCAGCCTGCAGCCTGGGGACTCAGGGCAGCGGGAGCCGCACGCCGTTAAGACCATGCTCACCTGTGGGATGGGTGCTCGGGTACTTCCGAGGGTGCAGTGAGTTTTTACCCTGCGTTTTTTATTTGTATCTGTTTTCAGTTAGTCAGTTAGTTGTTTTTTGCTTCACCATTTACCTCCCCTATGCCCACCTCCGCCCCTCCCACACCTCCCCGCAGTGACGGTGCTGGCATCTGTGTCTGAAGAGGGCTTTCTTTCCTCCGAGGCCTTTTACAGAACAGCGTATGGTTTCATTTCCGTGTGGGACTCTGACTTTGCCGGTGTTTTTGTTTTGGGGTACCACGCGTGGTTCTACCTTCCGAGAGAAACTGGCCACCGAGGAGCAGAGCGTCGTGGTGAGGTAGCCCCTCGCCCCTCACAGCCGCACTGCAGGTTTCCATGTGGTACCGTCTCTCTGAACTCCGCCTTTCCATTCATGCCTTTGTATTTCTGTTGTTGCTTCAGGGCTGCACTGACTGGTTCCTTTGATTCGGGGTGGAAGGTGACGAACCCTGCCTCCCTTTTCCGCTTTTGCTGAGTTGGCTTTGTGGTGTTGGTGGTGTTGACAGTGCCAACGTTGAGAGGTGGCCAGGCTTCTTGAAGGAGAACAGGAAGGCTCTTTACAAAAGCTAAAAAATCACCCAGGAGGGCGTGGTTATCAAAAGGGTGTGATTGCCGCCCTGCTTCAAAACCTTGGGCGACCTTCTGTTTGGTGGCATCAGCTACACGCCGAGCGCCGAGCGCCGAGCGCCACGGCCGCTCCCACTGAAAGCTCTTCGAGCAGGTGCTTTCCTTCCTCCGAGGCCGTGTACTGGGGCCGGGGCAGGACCGTCCTCTCTGGTGCTCGGCTCCACGGACCAGATTTAAGGGCACCACCAGATCCCTTAAGTTTTGACATTTCAAAGGACACCAGAGGGTGACATCACACATGCCAGGGCCCTCAGTCCTCTGGACACTGTGCTCTGCAACCTGGTGCACCTCCTGCCCCTCCTCCCCACCGCGGTCTTCAGCCAGAGGATGGCGGGTGTGCGTGAGTGTTACCGGCTGCTTTGACTTCTCACTCAGTTCTGTGTCATGGGTTCATGGTCTCTCTCTTTCCTGTATTGCTTGTCCGTCCCCACTGAGCCAGTCCTCTGACCTGGGAAGCCATCCATCCACTAGGTGTGGCCTATGCAGGGGTCAGCCCCAGAGATCCCAGCGCTGAGTGAGGCAAACCTTTGTGGAGGGCGACCACCATCAGGGCTGTGGCTGGGGTTCTCTCGCCACGTGTGGCATGTACGGTTGATCTTGTTTTAAAAAACAACTTGATTTTTTTTTTTTAGGAAACCTGAGGATAACCTGAGGATATGTTTATTGATTTTAAAGGGAGAAGGGGGGTTGGGGGCATAAGAAAGAAACATTGATTGGTTGTCTCCAGGGACTGAACCTGTAAGCTAGGCATATGCCTGGATCTGGAGTCAGACCTGCAACTCTGGTGCGGAGGGTGAAACCCCAGCCGTCTGAGCCCCTGGCCAGGGCAGACGCAGTGGGCATTCATGCAGCCTCACAGCAGGCGGAACCTTGACTTGTGTGCGGGTTAAGAATCCACGTGCTTTCAACAGAGATGGCCCGTTCATCATGAGCAGCCCCGACTTCGCTGGGCACGGTCCTCGCGCTGCTGCCGGTGCTGCCCTGGGGCCACAGATGTGACTGGGGGGCGGCCACAAGGATGGCGAAGGTGATTGTTTTACATATTTTTACCCTGAGTGTACTTTTTGTTTGAGTTATCTTCGTGGTGTTTTATATCGTGATAATTTATGTCAAATCTCTAGCTCCTGGTCCTGAATGGAAACTTGGGTATGTAGGACTTGTTTCGAGGATTTGTTCTTAAAAAAGGTGTCAGAACATTGGAGCCGCAACTGGAAAAGTGGCGTCTTTGGCTTTTCCTCCTCTGTCCTAATTCCCATTTTGGTGTTTTTCCTAGTTTCTCCTTGGACCAAGATGACTGATGGAAGCCCTGCCAGCTCTACCAATGGCGTGGCTCTGATGGGCATTCTGGACGGTCAGCCAGGAAACCACATTCAGAACCTGCAGCACGTGAACCTCAAGGCCCCCAGATCCCTGTCGCTGTCCGAGTACGGGCCCAAGCTGAGCCTCGGGGCACTGGACCAGCACAGCCTGCAGTCAGTGGACTCTGGCATCCCGACCCTAGAGATCAGCAACCCGGAGCCCGTGCCCTGCAGTGCGGTCCACGTGAAGAGGAAGCCGCCCGAGTCGGAGGCAGTCCCTGAACGGGCCTGCCACAGTGCGTGCCCCCTGCCCTCCTACGCACCTCCGGGCCCCGCCAGCTCCGAGCGGGAGCAGAGTGTGCGGAAGTCCTCCACGTTCCCCAGGACGGGCTACGACTCGGCGAAGCTCTACAGCCCCACCTCCAGAGCTCTGAACCGCAGCGACGATGTCTCCGTCTGCAGCGTGTCCAGTCTCAGCACAGAGCTGTCCACTACGCTGTCCGTCAGTAATGAGGACATCTTGGACCTTGTGGTCACGAGCAGCTCCAGTGCCATTGTGACCCTGGAGAATGACGATGACCCACAGTTTACTGACGTCACCTTGAGCTCCATCAAGGAAACCCATGACCTACACCAGCAGGACTGTGTGGATGAGGTTGCGGAGGGAAGTAAATTGAAGATATTGGGACCGTTCAGTAACTTCTTCACCAGGTAACGTCACCTCCATTTCTCTGGCAGATGCAGGTCAGGGCCTGTGAGCCAGGCCGACTGTTCCTGCCGAGCGCATGTCAGTGGTTGTTCCCTGCCCCGTGGAACAGGCCCCGCGTCGGACGGGGAGCCCTGCCCAGCGTGCCGCGGAGTGCCGCGTGGGCCTGGTCTGTGGGCGGTGCTGCTCTCTGACTCCTTCCGCTTGCTGTCACTCCCGTGTCCCTGGCTCTCATACAGTCTGTCGTCACCTCCTGGCTCCTGACCTGCTGCGGCTGAGGGTGCCTCACAGGTGGTCCATGTCAACAGACCAGCAGCCGACCTCACCACCTCGTTCTTTGCAGGGCCAGTATGTTAGTGCCCGAGCGTCCTGGGCCGACCAGCGGGTGCGGATGAGGTTGACGACAGATGGAGCCACCCGTACTTCCCACTCCCGCCCTCATCTGCACAACTCTGGGCTGGCATTTCTGGGAGCCCCTGGTTGTGTCCCCTGTGCTCCTGCATGGCTGCGTGCCTGTGCTGTGTCCTGGCCCCGGCCTCACTGCTGAGGTGTGTGCTGTCCCATGTGTTGGGACCAGACCGTGCACCCTGTCACCCAGGCACCAAACCAGGGCTACGGGGGTCCCGGTGGGGATGGCTCCCGCAGCATCGGCCCCTTATCTGTGCTCGTGTGCTGTCATTCAGCAAGTGTGTGTGTCCCGGGTGCTCCCCTTGGCAGGTGGTATGGGTGCTACAGGCAGTGCAGGTGGTCACAGGCAGTGACCGCGGGTGGGCTTCCACTGGAGCGGTGAAGCGGGCACACGAGTCCCACGAGCAAGTGGGAAGCCCCAATCCGTTAAGTGCTGTGAGGAGGGCACGGCCGTGGAGAGGGCGTGTGGGAGTGTCCAGCGGCCCCGCAGCTGCCCTTCAGAGGGCCCAGCAGCGGGGAGCGTGCCTGCAGCCGGCCCTGGCTGCCCTGTGTGTGCCCCAGCAAAACCCGTGCTGGATGCTGCCGTGCAGGTGTCCCACCCTGCGTGGGCGGTGGGGTGTGCTGGCCAGAGTCAGCTGAGATGCGTGTGACTGTGGGCAGGCACGCTGACCCACTGATGCTGCCTCGGTGGCTCCCTCAGCTGCACGTGGGGGCCAGAGTGACCCTGTCTGTGGCGTGGCTGCATTTGGGGGAGCATCTCTTTTTTCTGATGTACCCCCAGACCAGTGTGCCTCTACTGTGAGCAGTGGTTCCGGTCTCAGAATGCAGTCACCAGCGGTTGCCCTCATTGGGAGGAGCCCAGGAACTTTGGGGGGACTGTCTGTGCTCCTGCCTGCTGAGGCCATGGCCCTGAAATTGTGTCATGGCCTCTCAGATTGTGTGGCTGAGCGGAACCCTTTACTTGGACCCATTCATGCGGCTCCTCGGGGCCCAGCCCGGAGCTCCAGAATTGGGGTCTCAGTGAAGGGCTTGGGGGATGGGTGTTCACAGTCACTTGGGGCTCTTGGCACATTTGGGAACGCTTGCTTCAAAGGAGGGTGGCCGGGAAGCCACGGAGAGGAGAGAGCTTACTTCTGGGGTTCCAGAGCCTATACCCACGCCCTAGCTGTGTGACCCTGAGGGGCAACTTCACCTCGGAACTAGCTTTCCCTTCTCTGAAGCAGCCTTAGTGAGTGCTCACACGCGTGCTCACACACGTGCTCCTTGGCTTCGCTGTGTAGTGGGGGGTGGGGAGCCCCCTCCCTGTGCTCCTGGGGAGCAGGTGGCCCGGGCAGCTGCTGTGCCATGCAGTGGCTTGCTGTGGTGACCCCTCGCGGAGCCCCAGGGGCTCCGGCTGCCGCCCTCCTCTCCGGGCCTGTTGTGGGGCCTCTGCTCCTGTGCGAGGGACCGCATCTGTCCCTGCGGGTCTTTTCCACAGCCACTGGCTCTGGAAAGCCCTTCCTGGCTTTGTGCATCAGAAACCAAGTGTCTCCTCTTTGTTTTAGTCCTTGCTTCTGTGTCCTCGTCTCGGCGGCTGTGACATTACTGTGAGCCATCACTAAGTTCCTTTGTGGGCCTGTGACAGTGGTGATGAACGAATCAAGTGTGTGGTGTCACAGGCCACGTCTAGTGAGTTTCTTGTCTTAGGATCTTAAAGTGTTAGAGAAGAATTTCTTTCCTATATATTTTATTTTTTTTTAGAGTGAGGGGGAGGGAGGGAGAAAGAGGGAGAAACATTGATGTGCTAGAGAAATATCAGTGTGTTGCCTCTCACACACCCGAACTGGGGATGTGGCCCGCAACCCAGGCATGTGCCCTGACTGGGATCGAACCAGCAACCCCTTGGTTTGCAGGCCAGCACTCAATCCACTGAGCCACACCGGCCAGAGCTAGCGTTTCAATCGAGAATTCCTTTGAAGGGGAAAGGGCTTTGTGTCAAAATGTTTGAACCCTACTACACATTTTATGGGAGAATCAAGGGACGTCACACAAGGGGCACGCACAGCCGGTGCTCAGAAGACTGCAGGCTGTGTGTTTCTGTCCAGCACTCAAGCCGCTGAGCCTCCACAGGTGGGGTTAATTGTACTGCTTGTAAAGAGTTGGTGTGAGGGTTAAATGAGGTCATACAGGTCAAGTTTTGGACAGAGCACAAACCCAGAATGCAGGTTGGATTTCTGGCTCTGTTTTCTACCATCGTTGGGGTTTCATGCAAGATTTCACTTTTTTTAAAGGTCCTGCCATGTGAAAAATTTTGAAACCACTGGCATAAGAAAAATACATCTTTAAGTGGGCACGTTGATTTGCTGTGAAAGTATTCAACCAAAATGTTAGGTCCTGCAGAGATCTAGGCTTTTGGGACTTGATTATCGGTGGGGGCGAGGACAGTGCTAAGGAAGACGTGCTCTTTGTTTGCGTTCATGGGGGGTGAGTTAGCCTACCAACAGGGCGGGTGCCCTTCAGGGACATGGGACCCAGCCAGAGCCTACAGAGTCGCAGGCGACCCCGAGTGCTTGCCAGGTGCCATTCTCAGACTTTGGAGCGGCCTGGGAGATCCTGTGGGTTGGGGGGCTCGTTCCCCAGGACACGTTCCTTGGAGGTGCCTCTGGAACTGTGCAAGGCAGAGATGGAAGATGGGCATTTCCCAGAGCCCCTTCCTGCTGGGTTTGGTCATGAATGGAGTGCTGTCCTGTTCTCCCCATGAGAGCCACTGGAGGCAGCAGTTTGGTGGAGACCGTTGTCCTCCCCCTTGGCTGTTCCCTGCTCCTGGGCGGCAGCCCTTGTTTGCTTCCCGGGTGTTCAGAGGCGGTCGTGGTGGAGGAGGTGGCTGCCTTCTGCGCTCTGGCGGTGCGAGGCCGTGGCGGCGGCCTCCTCCCGACCTGCTGCCCCCTCGAGTTCCTCCGTCCCAGAGCCAGCTCCGACGCAGCAGCTCCCTGGTGCACCAGTTCAGGGAGCCTTTCCTGGGGCCTGTGCGAGCCCTTACAGCCATTTCGGAATCATCCACTTCCTTCAGTTAAGTCCCTTCCTGCTTCAAATTCCTAGAGTGGTTTCTATGTCCTGCGCCGAGCGCTGGGGGGTGCAGGTGCGCGCCGTACGTGCCATCTAGGTGAGGCAGTGAGTGGGGGGCCGAGGAGCTGCCAGGGCTGCAGAAGTGATATAGGGCTTGGGTCTCTGAAAACAGACCCGAGTTTTGTATCTGGAAGACAGAAGTAGGTTCCTGCGTCAGAGTGCTGTTGAGTCAAGTGGGGGAGGAGATGCCCATGGACGTGAGGCACTGAGCACGTGGCGGACCTGCTGGCATTTAGTCTGTTATTTTTTGGCCTGGCTGACTAGTTTTCTACTGCTTTGACCCTTTTAGAATTAGCATCAGTGAATTGAGGTGTGACATTGAACTATGACTTATCTACGAATCTGCTTGCTAATGTTCCTGGTGACTTTGGCCTGGTGCTGTGATGGGCAGGACACACCTGCTGAATATCTGAGCGGCTGGGGGTGAGTGCGCACCACTGTGGTACCTGGGGAGGAGCACCGGCCGCTGCTCTCTTGGCCTGGCTTGTGCTGGCCCGTGGTCTTGGGTCCAGCAGGCACTCCACCTCCACGGGCTTGTGCCCTTGTTTGCAGAGTGAGCGGAGGATGCCCTTCTTATAGAGCCATGAAAATGTGAGGAGCCGCCTGGTCCAGGGTTGTGCTCCAAGCCTGCTCTCATCAACTTGAACTGTCTCGATGACTCGGAGGCGATGAGAGGGGGCTGCGCCCCAGCTGGCTGAAGGGGCTCCGCGCTGCCTCCTGAGCAGCTTCCCCCTGAAGGGGCAGTAGCCACCCTGTTTGGAGCCCACACTGGGCCTTCCTCTCCCTGAGCCTTTCACAGCCCTTCCAGCAGAGACGGCTGCGCACTGCAGACGGCTCTGGGAGGCTGACTGCACAGACCCAGGCAGCAGAACGGGCACTCGTCGGATTCCAGGGTCCACGTCTTCCTGCAGAAGCCACCCCACTGCCTCTTGCCCATGGTGCTGGGGGCAGAACTGGGCGTGGGACTGGGGGAGTGGGCGAGCGGCAGCTGGGCACAGGGCCGCTTCTGCAGGCTGGTGGCAGTGGAGCTGATGGTTCCTCTGCGAAAGGGTGGGCCGAGGGTGTCCGGACCCTCGGCTGGGAGGGCAGCACTGGGCTCGCTCTCAGGGCACTGCGGGCGAGCGGTTGAGGAGGCCCCCCAGGCATCTGAAAGTGTGAGACCCAGGCCGGGGCCAGCTCTGAGGCTTGAGGCCTGCTGGCTGTGCCGTCGTGGTCGGCCTTCCCAGCTGGCCGCGCGGGTGGGCTGGGCTGGCGGGGGTGGAGAACAGCAGCGGCGCTGTGGCGGAGCGGAGTGGGAGGCCTGGAGTGGGACAGAAGCGGGACAGAGTCAGCAGGCGAGGCAGGGAGGAGGGCAACTGCTGTTACCCTGACAGAGAGCCGGAAGCTGCGTCAGTCACTCGGAGTTCTGTCCTTTCCGTTCCCTGCGAGCCTTCCTGGGTGAGCGTTCACCCAGGTACACGCTTACCCTGGCTCCTCTGAGCCTGTGTGGGTC